AACGATACCAACTGAGCTGATATGGAACGTCGAGAAAATGACATCATGATCAGCGATATTTTAAAATTAACACTCGTGATCCGACAGTGACATAAACATAATATTCCCGGCTGTCAGACCTGTTTATCTCCTTTTCATTCATTCATTCATTCATTTTTTATTTCCAGTTTCTTGTAATCATAATTTAACTAAAACGGAGTAGAAGTATCTGTTTTCATTGTTTTAACAACAGTCAAGAAAGTAGTTCTGATTGAAAAATTCATCGATGTGTAAACTTTTTCTTGAATTTGTTCTCGTCCAATCAAAACATAGGGAATCAATAAATAAAATTAAGATTCGAATTATACGGAAATGAAAAAGAAACAGAAAAGTACCTATATAACTAAGCATTAGATAGAAAATGAGGAAACATTGTAAATATGTTCTTGTAGAGCAAACCATACTGAAATATTTCATGAAGTTATATTATTTGATTTGGAAAGACGATCAACACTTGTAAAACATCAACCTTTCGACAATAGCATGATCGATACTATGGCCTTGTCAACAAGTACAGTCTATCATTAAGTCAGATGTTTACTGAAGATTTCCATACGAATTTATAGGGTATTATTTTCACTCTGAATTGTCTTCAATAATTTTTCCGTTTACGTGAAGCATCTGATCCCCCTCTGATGGTCTGAGGGTCTGCGCTTGCTCTGATTCTAAATTGTATTGTTTTAAATGGACTTCTGAGCTTGTTTCTGGGACATTTTTTAATATTTAATAACGAACAGATTAAACGTGTGCGAAAAAGCCATTTTCATTTTAGATTACAATAAAACGCAACCTTTTTACATGTAACGCATCAAAATACAAACTCACAGTTTCCTGTTATATCCATCACAACTTCAGTGGTCAAACTAGAAGACTGCACAAAACAGGAGGGATGCTTCACGGATACTTACAAATACTTCTTAAATATCTACTAATCATTTAATTGGTAGAAGACATAGTGACCGCATTGGAAAGAAAACAATTATTAGCTTCTAATTGTTAGAATTTACCGTAATCTTGGTTGGAATTAGGATAATGGCCGTTAAATATCAAAATGGTCAGGATTCGGTTGCACGAACGATAGTTAAATTTAATTAGCCGTTAACTTTGCATTATCGTGAAATTTAAATTAACAGCGAGTTAAATCGGTTGCACAAAAGTTAACTACCAGTTAAACCTTAGTTAATTTTGTGATTTAACAAACAGATTTAACTTAGGTTACATAGGTACATTAAATATTTAATTACACATTAAAATCAAAATTCTCGACTTGTTATCATTTCAAAACTTGTTTGCGTTGAAGGAAGAACTTAATCAGAGATAATATAAATGTCTGACATAAGCAAAACACACATTTGATCCTGATTTCAATTTAGGCATGATTGCATTATTAGGGCTGTATCAATATATTGATACGTGTACATGTAAGTCGATAAAAACTTTTATTTCATGAACCCCATGCACAAAAAATGAAGAAGGGTAGGGTGTTCCTTTCCCCCTTTTTAGAGAGTTTTTCATTATTAATATTATTTTTAGTTTCAAATTCAACGCCTCGTCTTAGAATTAAATACAGAAAAAAACTACATGTACAGGGTATTCGTTGTAACTGTATTGTTTATATTGCGTGTCAATTGAAATTTCAATGTTAATTCATGCTAGAAGAAACTACTTAAGTTGTAATAATATATCAAACAATATCTGATAAAAGGATAACATATATCAAGTAAATTTTCCTTAGCAAATTCACATTTACAAGTTGACGTCATTTTAATTATGACGTCAGTAATCTTTCACCATAGGTAAGGGAAGTGCACGCGTCGAACGATTTTAACAGAGAGTTAACTATAAAACATCAATTAAATCTGAGTTAACTAATTAAACTTTAATTGACTTTCGAACAACAACAATTTAACTGACAGTTATGTACATGTAACTTATCGTTAAAAATTTAACAGTTTGTTACGGCATTAACTTGAAGTTAATTTAACTATCGTTCATGCAACCAGATCCTGATCTGCAGCGTCACATGTTTGAAATATATAGAGATAACAACAGAATTCAAGTTCAAAAGTTCTTTGAACAACACAATTAGAAGCAGAGACCCCAGAACATCAGAGGTGGGATCAGGTGCCATGGAGGAGTAGGCATCCCCTGCCGACCGGTCGCATCCGTCATGTCCTCCTTGTCATGGTCGGAAAATAATGAAAATATCCGACAATGTGTAAATAATGGCCATATAATGGGTATGAAAAACGTCGGTAAGAATTCAATTAATGATTAATCGTATTAGCAGACAAGGGCATTGAATCGATCATAGAGCTTACGAAATGATGACTTTAAACGATACTTGATAGTCAATTACTTACTGTGCTTCAGAAATTGCTCCCACTTAGAGCATGCTCTTGCGTATTATAACAATTGTGAGATATTTACCCCCGTTTGCAAGCGATGAAGAAATATGAGAAGTTGACCATTGAAAAGTTAAAGTCATGCCATTTATCATAAAGCTTGGTTGTAATGATACTGTAACATAATTTGCCTAATAAAAAGAGCAGTGCCATTTTTAGGGAAGAAAGCTAATAAATATTGAGGAAAATATTTCAAAAATACTTGGGCTTGCTATGTTTTTTTTAGGTAATTCCTTTGTCAATGTATATATTTGTTCTATTTGTAAGGGGAACAGTAGTACCATTGTAACACATGAAGAATCACAATTTTTTATGCATTACGATAATAAAAAAGGATACAATGCTAAATATCAGGGACTAGCAATTGTTTCATATCTTTATTGGAAAATTGTCTACATGTATCAAAATTTTCACATGTATTATATTAGTTTCTATATTTACATCGTGCCCTGAATCTTTGGGAGAAACTTTTGCAGCAAGATATTAATATCCGCGAGAATTTTATTGCTTGCATAAAGTACTCGTTACCTGTTCTGCAATTATTTACATACCTGGTAATGAGAAGATTTATTAAAGTTTAATATCCTATGTTTCTAATTTACTCTGAGTCGATTATCCAGGTCCTGTGATCAAGATATTAATATGACTTGACGTAAACTCTTTCATTTAAAAACTTTTACATACAAAGAATTGGTTCTTGTGGCCTACAACTCGTCATTTATTATTTAACAATACATGTAGTCACTTTTATTCATATGTCAACTCGATATATTCCAGTGAAAGCGAAATAAAAGGCAACACAGTATATTCACATCTGTTTAATACTAGTATTTGGATGTTTTTCTGTCTGCTTAATTGTATATGATAAACCAGATGAATGCATTTTTTCTGTCATTATCATTTTTTTATGTGTAGTAATATCCTACTATCACCTGCATAAGGTGTTTTAAAATGTCTCCAGCTTGTATGTGCTTCACGAGCATGTTCTATCGATTTTTAAATAAAGACAGGCTACTGACATGTGAGTAGCTGATACAAGGAATCCGACGTTATAACGACCTTGTTAGCTAATGTTAGTACATGTGTATACTGTAAACCAACTTTTATTCGTGTGGGAGAAATTTTCGCGCGAGGTTCGCAAGAGTCTCGTCATCGCAAATATTTCTCACCGCAAACCGGTTCTTAAGTCTCTGTGTCTATGAACAACAGACCAAAAAGGCTTGGTCGCGAATATTAATCGTGGTAAACTAGTTTACTCCTGGTAAATCGCGAAATAAAGTCGTCGCGAATAAAAGTTGGTTTATAGTATCCTATCACTGAGTAGTAATTCGACTGACTTATTTCATACGTATTGCAAGTCGTTCGGTTTTAAATTAATTTTTTTCCATTGAATATTCTGTCTACTTTTAAATGTACGGGCCTTATTTCGAGTAAATCGAACGACAGGGGTTACATATTCCAACTACGTATTAGATTCCATCAACAGATAGATGTAAAATAGAGTAGTATACATTACATATATTGTATTAAAAATTGTAAAATACATGTATCTAGGAATCTTTGCCGTATTATTCCTCTTTGCATTCGTTATAAGTGATTTTGGCTTTATTGAGATTAATAATTGATCATTCTCTATGTCTATTTCATTCTAATACCTATCATTAATATAGATACCTTGTCAAGTAATGGAGCCCTGTCAGAGCTCTTTTAAACGTCTAGAGTGCTGATACATTTTAATGTTCTTAGAAGAAGTAACATCAGGAAGTAAATTAAGCAAATTTACATTTCGTTTCTTTCAAATTTAAAACACTTCCAATATCTTAAAGTTTTAAGGACTATCCTTTTATCTTCCTGGTTTCTCTATGTCTTTTATTTAATTTCAATATGAATTTAAGGTATACATGTAATACTTTAAAGTAAAAGCAAAGGTGATTCAAAAATAGTTTTCTCTGTACAATTTGATAATACAAGTATATTTTAAAACGTAGATTTATCTGTTAGCAGTCTATCAGCTGTCGTGTTTAACACTTGGGTTTCTGTATTCATACAAGCTGTTACATTTCATGAAAGTAAAGTAGTTCTGGATTGATTAAACTTTAAATAAATTTAAAACTGTAAAAGTGCATGCAGATTTTCTTTGTACAGGAAATGTACTTAGTTAGGTTTTTGTGAGTTGGAAAATCGTAAAAATTCTACAGAAGTCCTTTTTTACAGTAGAAAAGCAAAAAAGCATCAACAACATGAATTAAAACTGATAATTTGTTTATAATAAGCCAAAAATATAACTTACATTGAAACTGAAAATATGGTCAATTAATACTTATTCCTAAAGACGAATCCAAATTAGATAAAAGTGCAATCAAAACAAAATTCTAGTAAAAAATGCTGAGAAGACACTTGTTTTACAAAGAACAGTTTATCCTTTGGTTTGATTCCTACCTGTTAATTTACCTGTTATATATTAAAACAATATACATATAATAGGTAGAGCTATGAATTAAAATTTCTTACGAAAAATAATAAAATATAATATTATGTGAAGTAAATATTACTTACAAGAAACTGTATTTACTCCATCATCATTCCATATTTTATCCTTCGTAGAAGCATGTCAGTAGATAAAAACACTATTCAATATTCATACAGTCTTTGACTGACCATAGGAATGTTGAAAGATATATACAATATAACTTTAAAGATACAAAGTTCGTGTCTGTCTACTTCACATCACAGGAGTGAACGGATCAAATTGTCCAGGTAAATATTAGGGATTATTTCCCGCGCTCTATAATTATTTCCTGCTCTCAGTGATTACAGACACAAACTGCTGCGGTGATTCTGTCTATCACTCCCCTACACTGCGTGACGGAGGATGCTTAGGAACTCTATTGACATGATAAATTCCACGTCAGTTTGAAAAGTTAGTTCACCAGAGCCTTAGGCTGTTCATGATTTGAGCTTTTTGATCGAAGTAGGTCCGTTGTCTTTTTATCCATCCCTCTGTGCTTGATCAGTTTAACATTTATTGACTTTTTACAGATTTTCTTTCTTTTATCCAGTTTTAACTAAATTTTTCAACATACATTAATTGTTGAATAAACTTAATTCTTTGAAATTACTGGTATTTTTCCTGTGAGTATTAAGCATCAGAACTGAAGAAATGTATCATAGAAAGGTCTTTCTAATATGGATTGAATCAAGTATGTTAAATTCACTGTAAAACTTAACTGCAATTAACTTAAACATAGAATCGAATCTAGGGAAAAGCTATATTCATTTTCTATAAAAAAAATCCATATATAAAAAATTAAAAAATCCTTTACACAAGACAACTAATATCGTTTTAAAAATCTAAAAGAATGATATACAAGTATACTGATGTGAAGAAAACAAATATCATTATGTAAAATGGACAAATAGCTAGCTTGGCGTGGCCTCAATGCATTTATACGGAATCTTAGTTTAGCATTGGAATAACAGTTTTGTCAATTTACACATTGAATTGTCGACGGATTTCCCCGTTATTTTCCGATCATTACAAGGAGGACACGGCTGATGTGACCAGTCTGTAAGGGATACTCACTCGTTTATGGCACATGATTCCACCTCTGATGTTTTAGAGGTCCGTGTATGCTCTACTCCTCTTTTGTAATGTTTAATGGACTATTGAGTTTGAACACTGTTCTATCTCTGCATACTAATAGTTCACTCTATTTGTGGAGTACTAGTATTTAGTATGGGTGTCCGGCGTCTTTCTGCCTGTCTTTAAACCATTTTTTTAATAAAAAGAACCAATTTGTTTGGTCCTATTTAACTAAGACATGGTTCCAAATTAGTCCATTATGTATCAGAATGATAATTTTTAATCTTGGATTTTCATTTCGATAAATGGTGTTACCATAGTTACAAAAAATATAAATTTCTGGGATATTCTTTCGAATCACAACTCCCTCTACAGTGTTGTACTAATTTCAATTAGATTTGGTACAAAAGTATTCTATATATTCTCAAATTCATTACTAGAATTCTTTTTAATGGTATATATTTGATTTCAACGAACACTATTTTCATGATAACAGAGAACTATATAATAATTTGAAAACAATGGTACGCATTTGCTCTGACTCAAATATATGATCAGCACTTCATCTATCATATCTTAATAATAAAGGGACAATTTTTCAAATAAATCTGCAAGCACCCGTCATTTGGGAAAGATGTCTGAGGTTCGTTCTTTTCATTGAATACTCTATGCAGAATCTTGTTATGTAGGAATTTAATTTTTGCAATTAAAATTTTCAAAACTATGTATATGACAAATTGTACATTCCTCCCACCCCACGCCCCTCAAAAGAGTTTAGAGTTGTGAACACCCTTCCTCCGTTTTTGTTTGTTATATTTTTTTCTTCAGATGCCTCCTTTTAATAACGTGCCTGGCAATTGCAAGAAGAATGTAAAATTGGTTAGCCATGTACTATGTAGATCACGTGTCTCTTGTTTCATTTGCTTTTATAAAACTTTTAATAGACCCTTCAACCAAAACGTTAAATCGGTTAATAACAATGTGTGTGATCATATTTTAATAATAATTATGCTCATGGAACTCATTCTGTGAGGATTTTTTTTAATCTGTGGATTTTGTAATGAGGTGTTAACGTCAAACAGGGATATCCCAATGTTAATACTGGTGAATACTTTATTATTTCGTTCCTGTGAGAGAGGAAGCGTTTCCTTCATCTGGTCTTTGTCTTATAATAGATTACAGAGAACAAAAAGGGAATTTATGAGTACTTAAAGAATTTTTCATCGAAAATACATTTGATTTTCCCGCTGGTTAATAAAATGAAGAATTTAACAACACAAAGCAAAATTACGTGAAGCTACTGTTTCAGTCTACACCCTAATGTTTTTACATGCATGACATACTTTTGGATATAAGCAATCGTTTCAATTTGTAGTTTCTATATGCATAGTCGCCCGCTTGGCGCAGTGGTTGGAGCATACTTCTAGAGTCGAGAAGTAAAGAGTTGATTCTTACGTCGCAGGTTCGAATCCCACTGTGGGACGTGGAGATCGGTCCTTCGGATGAGACCATATAAACAGAGGGCCCGTGTCGCAGTAGGTGCTTGCACAAAAAAGATCCCTCCTTGCTCAATGGCCCTGAGTGCTGGGTATAGGACAAATTTTGCAGCTCTCCGCCGGCAAGTGATGGCGTCTTCATATGAGTGAAAATTCTCGAGAGGGACGTTAAACAATATACAATGAATCAATCTATCTGTATATTTTAAAAGTGATTAAATTGACGAATGAGAAGAGATCAAAAAAAACATAAAAATATGATTTGTGTCAAGACATACGTATTATATATGTATTAATATATATTTGAGATCTGAAAGTTTGTACGTACCGGTATGTCTTGCCTGCAGTAAAACTTAGCTTTATTGTGATTCATATATGCAACATCTAATTTTAAATTAGCACCTGTGAATTCAATGAAATTATGATAAAACGCAAAAGAATCACATTCAAGTGGAAATGTTATTATATTAATTTGCATTTCAACTTATAGGCTATATGAGAAATTAATTCTGTATAAAATATTGTTTTTTGAAAAAAAAAAACCGGAATGGGAATTATTCAAATAAAAAAAAATAGAAGCTGTATTGCAATAAATTTCTCTGTGTGATTTGGAAGCAATATAATGTTTTAAATATCTCTCTGTGTAGATTGAAATTGAATAGCTGAGATGGGTATAAGCTATGCTACATTTATGCTTTAATGATATAAGGTATATAAGGTACCTTAAATGAAGCAATAAAAAGATATAGCATCGTTATGAAAAGAGAATATTGGAGTGATATACGGATTAAGGCACTAAATAGTATTTCATAAATGATTCTTATTTTGATCCTGATAGTTAACCTGGTAATAGGTTTATCCAAAGGATCAAAATGTAATGTCTACAAAGCCTATAATCGCAAAAGTTAGGAACCTTTCATAAAGATGGATTACAAAAATTTAGAATGTGCATACTAATAAAATCTGAGAGAGAAAAAATATTCGAAGAATTAATTGCGAAATTTTTAAAAGACTGAAAGATGTTTATACAAAGGATTAATATGGTTGGGATGTATGTTATTTTTATAAACGGAACTAACATTACTTTTTTAGATTAGATGGCTCGACAAATATTAGAGTTATGTGCTAAATCAATTTAAAACAGAAATCTTTGAACAACTATATTCGTCAAATTGAGCAAGATCAGGAATAGTTTTCCTTGATTAATGAGACAAAACATTTTTTGTTGATAATCAATTCATCAATGTCGACCCTTGACCTAATTTGACAATCAATTAGCCAAGGCAATGCAATGATACCGATGTTTTACATATATATTTCCTAGAATGTTTCATTGCTTACTTTCAAAACTCTAAATCTTTGGAATACAGCGATCAGATAAGAATCTAAGAGGTTTTGGGTAAACAAAGGTCAGATGGTTATAGTAAAAGAATTCATTCATTGATTAAAATCACATCATCAATATTGTCATTTGTTAATATTAATACATGAAATATATGGGGAAAACGAACAGTATTCAAACTCAAAAGTCCTTTAAACAATACAAAATTGGAGCAGAGCAAACACTTACCTCCAAAACATCAGGTGGGATCAGGTACCATGGAGGAGTGAGCATCCCCTGCCGACAGGTCGAACCTGTCGTATGCTCCTTGTTATGAAAGCGACCCCCCCACCGGAAAAATCTGTCGACAATTTAGTGTGTACAATGGCCTTCAATAAGTATGAAAAACGTCACTCTGCATTTGACTTAATGATTAATTGTATTTGCTGACAAGGTCATTGTATCGTCCAAATAAATAACGAAATGATGATTTGACGAGGTTGGCTCCTGACTTTTAGTCTTAAACTTTTTTTGTCAAGTTTATTTTTAGTTTCTTCACACATAACTTAATTAAAAATCAAATAAAAAAAATGGGGGTAAATATGCTTCTTTTGCTGCTACAGTATATTTAATATGACCTTTTTACACTGAAATTGGTGTCTTAATAATAAATTACAACTTCGACGTTTTCCCTCCAATAATTTTCTCTAAATAAAGCATGGAAAAAAAATAAACTATAAAGCTATTTTAAAAAGACACTTTAAAATTGTGACTTAGAAAAAGTTTCAAATTTCTTCTCAAAATCAATTCTTTGACCTTTCTCTGCTTACAAAATGTAATTTTTCTGGCATTGAAAATTTAATGAGCAAGAAAATTATTTTAAAGTCTTAAACTTTTGCTGAATTTAAGCAGATTGGTCAAAGATATCTTAAATACATGAAAAGAAAAGACCATGAAAATTGGGGGGATACGATTTAAAAAAGTCAATTTTATGTGAAAATTAGCTCAAATTACATCAGACGGAAAAACTATTGTTAATTGACAATACGTCGTCCATATATCTAAATGTCAAGTTAAAAGGCCACGGCATCTTTTCCCTTTTTTATGTTTACAATTATTGACAAATTCTGCTTTATATGAATACAAAAATAGGTCTGCTAATGACAGGGCTCAATTGGTACTCATGGAAATTCAAATATCTTGTTGGAAGACATAGACATTAATGTCAATCAGAAACTCGAGCATCTTTTCAATATCAACTTCAGAGTATTTGTGCGTACAATTGGACGTTTTTAACAAAATAATTT